TAAGTCCTCACAGATTATCACTGCAAAGGATGCAGACTCACTGTTTTGAAAGCAACTCTCATATGGAAAATAAATACATGAAAACATATATAGAATATATATATTTTAAAAAAGGTGATGACTTATGATTTACACCTCGATAACTATATATTCATCCAGACAGCTAAACTGAATAAAAGCTGTACCCGTTCAGAATTGTCTCTAGATCCAACACAGTGGCACAAAATATACTATAGCACAATGGATAAAAAAGACAGACTTTGTTTAGCCCACTTACCTAAAGGAACCAGGCTTCTGAGATCGCATTATCTACCCAACACTCCTCCAATAGATTTGAAGCTTTCAATTTCAACCAAGTATGACACAGAAAGAATTAACAAATTTCAGTTTCTGATGGTGTCATGGAAACAGGTGGTTAAAGCTGTAAAGAAACATCCTGTTCAAGCCCTTGCTGAATCAAAGGCTATTAAATTTGCTAAGACTCAAATGTAATGATCTCTCTTCTTATATAACCGAATAGCAGATTGCTCAATGCTTTACTGATGGCTCATACAGATAACACATTATATAAAGGAATAGCTGAAAGTTACATGGTATCCAAGTCAGAAAAGGTATCCCTACACTTTTTGCAAAGGTCGAAGTGCCATGAGTTTCCAGCAGGATTCTTTGTATTGAATGCAGGACTGAGCTTAAAATAGAATGAAAGGAACAAGACAAAATGGATCAGCAACATCGAGATAATCTTGGTTAAAAAAACCTACAGTGAATAGGGTAACAACCATTTCAAGGCAGTCTCTTATTACTTGTAGACAGCCCAGTGTTTTGGAAATCTCAACCAGACATTGATTTGGTGCTATAGCAAACAATGACGCTGAAGTCCATAAAGCAATTGACAAATGAAAATACAAGAAAACCCTCTGAAGTGCTGCAGCCTTCACGTGAAATAGTACTTCAGTTCCTCATCTTTGACTCTAGTGAATATTTATTAATGACTGCAATCTGAATTACTATTAAGAATTTCAAGGGTGAAATAGGGGTTAATGAGGCCAGGAAAAACACATGAGCAAAAATATTTGTGGAATAAAAATAATTAAATAAGGAGAGAGGAATACAAAAGAAGCTGATTTCACACAAAATTAGCAGCAAATGGAAAACAGTCTGTCTGAGCTAAGAAAACTAAAACAGTACTTCATGTTTAGGTATGATTGGGGTCTCTTAAGGCACACTGTTTCCACGTGTGTTATCGTAACATGACACACATCTTTTTCCTCATTACTGTTAATTACAATGGAAACCTCCTATAATTAACTGTAGTAGAATGTAATTCAATGAAACTTACATAAACCAACCTTTCCCCACACACTCATGTATATAGTAGTAATCTTTTGCACTGAGATTTCTGTAAAATAAAATGTTTTGAGTATAATAATTCAAATTATACTGCTGCTTCTATTCCTGTAAAACCATACAAATAGAGATTCCATGACCTATTCGTCAAGCTGCAACAAAACAAGGGAAATGCTCAGAATTCATGCTATTACAAAAGCAAACAGGCAACAGAAAACCATCTCACTAGAATACACAAATAATGTTAAATTCTTATGCTACATTAATGAAAATAATTCTCTATTATTCCCCCTCTCAGAAAAGGTGTAAGCACAAGCATCTTTCAGCTCTGCCCCATGCAGCCCTTTTGGGACTTCTCTGACTAAGAGGCCCTAATCCTCTATTTGTGGTATCAATCACCCTCAGCAAGCTCAAAACACCAGCTCAGAAGGCTGCTGAGGACAAATTTTGCATACCCTATTTTGAATCCTTCTCAATGCTTTCAGCACCGTCTGCTACCATAAATCTGAACTAAAGGCTTTTCCACGCGGGTTTTGCCCACCCACATACAGATGTGACCAGGTTCCACTGACAGCACAGTCACAGCATCTGGACCTCTCTGCAGGGCCCGGTAGGCTGCTGGTGGTGAATGCTTTTTACAGCAGTTAAGAAGGTAATCCGTGAGAACGTCATGGAGAGTGAGCTAAGGGAGAGTTCTACTTACCATCAGGTTCCCCTTCCACAGTGCCCTTTCTAAGGCTACCCTGAACTGTGAACCCAGGCTCTTCCCCAAGACCCTCTTTGGATCTCAGCAAAAGCAGGTTAGAGTGATTAACAGATTTGTGCATCAATGTATCCGGGAGCAAAGCTAAAGCTGCATAACTTAAATAGTCAGAATTTTACTCAAAATAAAAATGACAACTATGAAGATCACTGTAAAATGAATAGGAAATTGCAACACGACTTAAGCTTCCTTTCCATTCATTTTGCAGGATTTTTCTCTCTTCCCTACCTCCCTGGAAATATATCCATACACATGCCAAGCTATTACCTCCTAATCTTCCAGGCTTAAAATTCAAGCTCTAAAGGAATAATTACAGACACTATTTTCAGACTTACGCCACTGCAACCCAAATTCAAAGTTACCCACCATGACAACACAGTATGGCAAATCAGGCCCTCACACTGCGCTTGTTGTCCTCCCCCTAAAACACTGCAGGTTGCCTGCTCACCCTCCAAAACAAGCAGGATGAAGACTAGCTACTACCACACACTGTTCATACCATTCTGCATGCTCCCAAATGTGATTAGCACAGAAAATGCGAGAAGACCAGAAGGCTTCTTTCCATATTTAGCCACGTATGTTTAACACCAAGCTAGATTTCACCTCAGTGCATTACTCTGTTGATCAAGGGCGGGTATAGCAAGGAAGACATAGGCTGACATCAGCTACTTTTAAGCTTTCTCTCCCCCCCAAGCTTCTCTGACACCGTGCATTGTACATTTATGTGCTCTCATGTGTGCAGGCAGCACAGACTTATTTATAAAGATCAGTTATATGGTAAAACTGCAAAAGGAAACTTTCACCCTTGTCCAGCTGGTTGAATAACTGCAGAGGCCAACAGCAGCCTCTAATTATATGCTCTCCTTCTCCCTCCACCCCCACGTCTCTAATCACTTAGGAGGAAGATAGGAAGATTAGCAGAGAGGAAAAAAATAACCAAAGCTGCAGATAACCCTTTAGGACCACAACGTCAGGCTGTAATATTTGGAGCAAAAGGTTAATGCAGTTGTATTTTCAGGAATCTTAGACAATTGTATTTTATAGGAAAGGGAGGGGTGCTGAGAAGGTGAGAGAGAAAAGGAAATGGTGATGAAGACAAAAATGAATTTGTCATCCACAGCTGGCTCTTTGATCACCTGGAGTATCCAGGAAAAAGATTACCAGCAGAAATAGGTCAGTTTTATTACCAATACACTGCAATTTTTTGGTGGAGTATTTTTATTACCATCATCAGAGCAGATTTCAGTAAGAATATAGCTGCCCAAGTAAGGGCTTATTGAGCTGTGCAAAGAATAAAGGTTGTAACCAAACCACTGCCAGAAAGCTACCTTTAGCAGCTGATACACTGAAAAGATTTGAAAAAAACAAAAACAAAAATATAAATAAAAGTCACTTTCACTGGAAGACAATGTCATCTTCATCCCTGTCTCTGAACGGTTGCTATGGGGTTGTGAAGAGGAGGGGAAGGATGGGGGGAGTTATAATCAATCATCTCAGAAGAGCATTGCTTCTTACAGAGAAAGATCTGGATTTTGACTGTGTCCCTAAGAAAATTGCGGACTGCAGAGCTGCTGCCACGCAGGGCAATGAGGAAGCAGGCAGAGCAGAGGCAGCAGCTGGGGATGGAAACGCCTATTAAATCCTTTAGACAACAGATGGGCAAAGCTCGGCTGGGTTAAAAAAAAAAAAAAAAAAAAAAAAAGAAAAACCGCCACACTACAATGCATCATGTTTTATTGTCCCACCATAATGAACAACACTTAATACCCACATGCCCAAAGAAGCCCCCTATGGCTGATTTCCCTTTTCCCTAAATTATCATCTGAAGTCTCAATCCACTTTTGGGGGTCTCCCAACCCAATGAAATTGCCAGATCCCATCGCTTATTGCACCTGTTACTAGAGAAAAGCACACCAAAACCACCAACAAAAAAAAAAAAAACAACAGGAAAGACATTCTGGCATTTTTTAAAGGTTTTCCTTTCAATTAAAGCTCCCCTGCCCTTGAAGTGAATATGCTATCTAAGCAAGCAACAGCAAGTCTAGATCTTGAACGCATTTAGGGGATCTAATTATGTCATGTAGGGCAGAAGCACCTGCTCTCTGCTAATTCCCTCCACTGTTTCCTCTTTTTAATATTTCTTACCATTGTTCCATTCAGGAAAATCTGCTGGGGGCGAGTTTCATAAACAAGCTTTAAGAGAAATAATTAAATAAACTCCCCTCCCCCCCATCCCTCCCACAAAAACACAGGGTAACCAGAATGAATCCTGCTACTGATCCTCTATTTTTCCTTTTATTGCAGATGCTCCCCACAAAAAACACCAGCTCATCCATCCATATTTGCTTAATGCCCATAGCAGTCAGTGCCACATACATACTGTACATATTTCCCACCACCACCACCAACTGCACCTTAAGGACTACACCCTTTTCAATCATGATGTCATGAAATACTGCTGGTGACTCCCCCACTACCACCACCACCACCTCCTTGGTACTACAGGCTGTGAACCTTTCATTTCAATATAATTTGATTAAAAAGAAAAGACTCCTAAGTAGGGCAGTGAAGAAATTGATGCGAAATCCAGCAACAGCAGACCATCTATTTTTTCCTCTGCATGCACTCTTGCTGTCATCAGAACAACACCCATTAGCAGGAGTAATGAACATAAAGCATCCTGGGCTTTTCTTTGGTTTTTCAAAAATAAAAAATAGGAAAAAAAAAAAAAAAACTAAAAAAATAATATTCATAAAGGATTTTTGCTTCTATTTTCTCCACTAAAACACCAAATGGGAAAACCTAAACCCTCATATAACCCATCCCCAACATCTCACTGGCTGCTACAGCACCTTCCCCCTAGTGCGGGTGCTGCTGCAAAAGAACCAACCTGTCTGTCCTTTTCCTAGGGTTTTCTCCAAACGATAGGGTCCAACATATTGTGCATGTTGAGCTCCGCTGCCTTCTTTCCCTGTTGATGTCATTTCTACCTGGATCTGTAATTCTGCAATGTGTATGTGTTGATGAGCTGGAATTTCTCTCTCTGCAGTTCTTTAAATTCCCACTTTGCAGCTGTGCAAGCAAAGCACTCTCTCTTTGCTTTAGTCCACTTGGTCGCAGATTTTTCTCTTCCTCCTCTTTCTTTTCTTTCTCTCTCACGTGTGTGTTCTCTCGCAGGGTCTGTCTGGGACGCTGATGGACGAAGGAGTTATTTTACCGTTCAAAGAGGGGGATCTACGATCCAAGCCCAAGGAGCATGATGCTGGTGATCTGAGCTCCGCACGCCTTGTTCTCTCTAGGAGCTGTTCAAGGGAGAGCCAGAGCTAGAGCAGCGGAAGAGCCGGGGCCCGCAGCTCTGACTGACATGAAAAGCAGCCAATCTCTCGTCTCCCACCTCCTTCTCCCCTCCTCCTTCCACTATCTTTTCTTTACCATCAGCAGCAGTTACTGCTACTGCCTGCTACAGAGCATCATAATCAATGCTAAGAGCAAACACCTAAGTTTATCAGGCTATTGATAATGCACAATTAAATATAATTAAAGAGTTTTTATTATTTTAAATCCCAGGCATACACATTTTTTTTTGAATTATATTCCACCATACAGCTGTACTTCCACAGCACTGAATAAAGGCTGAGACTGTGGCAGGAAATAGGAAAGAAAAAAAATCTACTTTGGAAAATGAGCATGAGAAATTCATTAATTCTGTTTGATTCTGCATCTTCCATAGGTTTTACCCTTTAAAGAAAGCATTTGGGGGAAAACAAAAAGAAAAAATGATGGGGAAAAACAGGGCCAATCCTGTAGCTAGTGAACTCTATGACAGACTTGCTTTTGAATTTGATGAGAGCAAATAGACTTCAGGACCTTAGATGAAGAGACCAAAAATGGCATGGCCGCTATCTTCATTAGAAGCGCATCAGAAAATCCAAGTATTAAATGAGAATAGGAAATGATTGTCAGGTGCACAGGTGGTGCCTTCACAGTCTCCATACTAGCAGTGTAAGGAAGCCTACATTGTCCCTGTTGAAATACTTACACAGGTCTTTAACCCTGAGAGCTAAAAGTGCTTGTTGAATGAATAAATAAATAAATAAAGTATATGCTGCAAGATAGGCACAAGCCTACTTTGTGGACTCAGGACCATACAATTTCAGACTCCATGGCTACCAAACTGTAACCAATATGACACCATTTGTACCTTCTTGTTCCATTTGTGCCTTCTCTGTTCCACTCCAGGCAGACATCTGGTCAAGATATCCTTATTGAATCACAACTGAGACACAACACACTGCAAGGATTCTTTCGTCACAGCAGAAAGCCATGACAAGCCTGTAAAAGAAAGGAAAAGTAAAGCGATGACAAAAATAAATAAATAAATAAAATTGCAGGGGGGGGGGGGGGGGGTATCCTTTACCTGAAATAGCCTTTTCTTTCAATAAGCAACATATGATTTATTTTTTTTTTTTTGAAAGAGGGAAAAGTATTCTTTAAATGCTTAAATCTACATAGAACACCTTCTAATGGAAATTGGAAGAACACTAGAAATTGGCTCTGGAGCAGTAACACAGGCAGCACAACTCCACACAACAGGTTGCAGAGTAACAAGAAGAGGAGGTGTGAGGAAACCAGGCCAGCAGACTGAAACCTTAAACCAGTTCCAAGGTGTCCTCCTGTTTCCCTGAAGAAATAACCCCCTCCAGTTTTGACTTTCCTCAGCTTTGTGCTTTATGGTTCATCTTTAATTACTTGCAAAGCGTGCTGTTACAGCTACCTGCTGGTAAAACCCCGGGGTGGTGCACCCCAAGCTGCCCCTATTTCTCCGCACCCCCCAGGCCTCACCTGTCTGTCTGTCAGCTAATGGCTGCTGCTCTGCTGAGAGGCTTGACTCTACCGTTCACCTACAGCAACCTCCAGCCTCCATGGGGGGGCTTACCTCCCCTACAACCTCACTTTTACTAACCTAGAAATCGTCATTTCTCCAATCTTTGATTAAATATTGCTCGTTCTCCACTTAACACAAGCCCAGAAGCTGCTCCGCCCTCACACTCCCGCCCTCTTTCTCCCCTCAGAGCCCCTGCACGATGCCTCACCCACCTGAGCTGTCCATCCCTCACTGAGGAGGGAAGAAAAAGCATTCAGGGAAAACCCTGCTGACACTGAGGTGACATTTCCCCTCATCCTGCTCACCTTCCCTCTGTGCTACACCCTAGGGAGCAGGAAAGAGGGTGCAGCAGCCCTGCTGGCAGCCACGGCAACATGGCGGTGGCTCAGCCTCGGTCTTCCCGCCAAAAGTGCTGAGGTGATGGCAGCAGCGTGGCAGCCCTCATCAGGGCAGTGTAGGGCTGCTGCCAGGGCTGATGGCTAACCAGGCTCAAAAACCTCCAAAATATGAAGCGTGGGCTCAAAATCCTCAAAGTATGAGGCCTGGGCTCAAAACCCTCGAAGTATGAGACTTGAAGACATCAGGAGGGCTTCACAACAGAGCCATGAAGCATCAAAAGGACCAGGCTCCTGGCAGCACTGTCGGTCACAGAAATTGAGTGTTGGAGAAAATGGAAATGCGCTGATTTTCAGACTTTTAACACTTAAAATGGTGAGTCTTTCTCCTGCTGCCCCTACTGTTAAAGGGCACTACACATACAGAAAGGGGGGAATGAATTACATAAACGTTACATTACATGAAATATTCAATTACAGGAACACAAGCATAAATTTCAGAAAATGAAGAAGTCAGTTTATTTGTCTGAATTAGTAAATTATCCACGCAATCGTATTAGCAATGCATGGGGTGAATATCAGTGTGGATCTTTACACTTAACAGCTTCTTAAAATTATATTTTAAAGGGCATTTAATTGGAGATTATGATGTTTGTATGTAGATAAAGCATGTCTGGGTCATGATATTAATAGAAAGATGAATAATCAGACAATGTTGTCCGTAAAAGACCCAACTTGTGTATTTCACAGTTTGCTTACATTGTGCTTTGGGGAAAATGAATTACAGTTCCCTGAATATTGCAAATCCCTACATTCTGACACAAAATATGTGCCAGTGTCATGGCTGGAATAACAATAAAAACATTCAGATGACCCTGGCGAAAAGATCAGTGAGCTCAAAAAAACAAACCAAAAAACCTTGTTGGTGTCATTTAGTTATTTGTTAGTTTCATTCCATAAGAGTATACTGTTGTATGGCCTATTGCAACAATTTTGACCTTTCAACCTTAACTCTTTTCAAAAAAAATTTGTACACCTCTTAATTCCTGAATAACCAAATGCTGTTTATTTCATTTGTTCATATAGAGTAAAATCCCATTTATCTGTACCCCTTTGATCTGAAACTCACTCCTTTGAATCTAGGTTATGTCCCCCTGGTGTGAATTACTTATACAATAACTCCCTCAATTATTTGAAGCCCTGTTTATCCAAATGTTTTGATGTTCCAAAAGTATTTTGAATAAACAGGGCTTTGCTGTCATTGGATATATCAGATATCTTTGGGGATGCATACAGGATGATTTCCCCTGACCTTGTTTTGTATCATCTTGGGCTTAAATGAACAGGCAATGTAAACTTAAGTGTACAGTTAGCATATCATCACCATCTTTAGTACTTTTACTCCTGTCACCATTAATGATTTCACTTTTATTCTCATTAAAGGCCTAAAGCTGAGAAATTTCACTCAGGAAGGACTTAACACAGATGCCAGTGAATGTGTTGCTTGAGTAAGGAGTGAATAAAAGAAAAAAATGATCTAGAATTTTGCTCAAGGTGGATCATGAAATGATGCAAGAAACTAGAGGAAACACAGGTCCATGAGGCTATTATATACAATATTTTACATTTGCTCAGTTGAATGTATTCATGAAGTTACTAAAAAGGGAAGTGCCAGGCTTCCAAGAAAAGGCATCAATAAACTTGTGTAATTAGCATAGAATGAGTCAATAGCCTTCTCCTGGTAAGAATAATTTAACAAAAACTAGGGGGTTGTTTACAATTAGGAGAACTTAATAGCTGATACCAATAATAAAGGCACATTAACAATAAATGGTGCGATGATATTCAGCATTTGCAATGTCAAGATCCATTTTCACACTGTTGATGTTCCATCCACAAACCTATGGATGCATGACGTCTTTGATAAGTGGTAGTGGGAAGAAAATGTTTTGCATATTAACTTGATTGCGTAGGTAAATCATAAGAAACTAAGTAAGGTATTTGCAGGACCTTTAGGCATCAGTTCTGTTGACTAACTGAAATACGTGTATTGAGAATAATGATATACAGCTGCCACATCTCCAGACAGGTGCTGTCTAAAATCAAGAATCTGTCTCCTTTACACTAGATATCTACCATCTTCCTAAGAAGTCCAGATAGACCCTAAGAAAAGAAAGGGATTTCAGTAATGTAAGTGTGTGGTGTTTCACATTGTTAGAATACCCTCACAAGTCAGATTCATTCTACTATCCAGGATGTGCTGGGGAAATTAAACGAGTTAACACTGGTTACTGGAAGTTAGTGCTTCTGTACAGAAACTGGTCCACATTGCTCAATAGAGGTATATACCATGATAAGATTTAGACAGACACTTTGGAGAGTTGTTTCTTCTTGGTATTATGTACGTAGCTGCTATTATGGGGATTTTCAGCATTCTGTATATTCTAGTACCTCATTTTAAGGTTCGCCCAAAAGAACTGTTAGCTTGCCATCTACATATCATCTTTATTTCAAGCCAGATTAAGGTAAAAGTATGCAAAAGGTTTAATAACAAAACAGATAGTAGTGTTACAAAGACTTAAAATGATGCTGGAGAGAGAAAGAAGAGATGTTTATATTTGAGCTAAATACTAAATCCAAATGACTTTTTTTTTTTTTTCCATTTCTTTATCTAGATGACAACTTATTAACACTTACCTAGCATACCTAATAGTTATTTAATACTTCTGTTCCTTCCATTGTCTGCAGGTTGGTTTCTCAAGAGAATCCCACGATCTGGGGAAGCATCCTCTGTATGCTCTCACTCTATAGTCTCTCCTGGGAGATTTCAATTCAAATTCAGTTGTTCTTGAGACAATCAGCAATCACTGAAGATTGCAATCAGCAATGTTCAAGAATCTTAAAAAGTTAGGTTTTTGTTTTGTTTTGTTTTTTAAATTAAAAAAGATGAGTGAGGACAACCTTCTTGAAATCTTGCAGCTGTATGGAGCAGTTCCAGCTGCAAGGTGACAGCTCAGAAGGAAACATAGAAACAGTAGAGCTCAAGAACCAGAGAATTTGGAGATTAAGACATAGAAAACTGGTATGTTGAAACAGAAACAGTTTTGGCTGTTCTTTAGTGTTTTGGATCAATTCAGTTTCTGCTATAGAATGTGTGTGCAGCCTGATCACAACCTGATGGACTCTGCTGAGTGACTGTTGAGCATGTATTAGCAGCTGTCATGAATGTTTTATTGGCACTCTAACAATATGCAGTGAACTTGTTTGATGTCCAATAACAGAATAAAACAAATTTTCAAGAGTTTAACAGAGATGATTCAGTGGAGTAGTCAGTCACCATCCTAGAATATCTGCATTTCTCTGCAGAGATTTCAAGTAACCTAAGAAGTTTTGACCAGGATGAACAAATAAAAATATTTATTCTCTAGGCCACAGGGGAGCAGGGGAGCTTTTACCAGAGAAAGCAAGAGGTACAGTTTGAGTTAGACACGCACAGTGGTTTTAGCTATATGTGCGATGCAAGATTTTGAAGAAAAAGGAATCGGCAGTAACTGTACAACTTCTTAGAACTGGTATGGACGTTTCATTTGTGCACATAGGGGTATTCAGGAGACAATCCAGGGAATGTATCTGTTGGGCTGACAGGAATGTGCAAATGACCTGGAGCAATTCAAGATACGAGTCTTAGAGGAAAATGTATCATGCCAGATCTACCAGTCTGAGAGAGGTGAGGCTGCTGCAGCTCTACATGCCCAGGTCCAGCCATTAGCAAAGCTAAAAATGTGTTTCAAGCAGACATGCATACACAAAACACACATTTGCATTGCACATAGATGTGCTACATATCTAAATGGCTAGTCACACAGTTCATGTGGATCCCTGCCCAGTACCCTGGCCTCTAGATCCCAGACTGTCCATGTGCTGGCACCTGGATATGCAAGCCTCCATGGCTGCAGTCCTCCTCCAGCTGTATGCGTGTAAAATAATAAAATTAAACTGTTTTTAAAAAGGAACTTTGATGCCCAAGATGGCAGCATTTTTTGTCTCTAGGACAGAAACAAATAGGAATATAAGCTTTGTATTTGTCCTGGTGTTTCTGGAACTCTACATTAGGAAGTTTTTCTTGCAATATTCCCTAATTCCATGCTTATGTAATGAAGGAATACTTTTAATGTCAAATTTAAGACAGCAATCTTGAATATCCAGTACATATGCATGCAGTCCTCCTTAATTTTTCTCTAAAATTATAAACTATGAAACTGAAAATTTAATACATGCATAGTTATCAAAGGCTCACATCCAAACAAAAGTAAAATCAGATCATCTCAAAGGGAATTTCATGAGACCGAATTTTAACCTCCAACTTTGGAGGTGGAGTGGTTTGTTAGATATTCTGTACATATGCACCCTACAGTTCTGTGTTACAAATTTAGTACATAAGTCAAACATTCCAAAGCATCATGGTTGATATAGACATGCACACAGAATAGCGAGCCCTCACACACGACAGCATCAGAAAGGAATTTAGTGATAGAATAGACAGCACTGATCACGGGCAAGGCCTAGCCATACAGGTGTTCAGACTAGCCAACAACAATTTATATGCAACTGGCCCTTTTTATCTACTTACACCTTTATTTTCCCACTCTTGCTCTTCCCCAAATCACCTAAGCACCTTTCTTCCTGCATCTTTGATTCTTTAAACATCCCATAACAAGTCCCCATGGCTGTAAACCCCCACTGCAACCACTTTAGTCCACAAGG